ACATTCCCTGATGAATGTGATCTTTATGCTTGTCAAAAGTGTAATAATAAAAGTATTTTTTAAAGCTTGTATTTCAGAGCGTGTATTTTAAAGCTTGGTTTTCAGAGCTGTGGCCACTGACTCCCGTGCACCACCTCTTTTCTGCCTGCTGGAAAAGATGTGTTGATAGCACTTGTCCTCTCTGTCCACCGATTTATAATGGCTGCTGTGGGGAAGGCACAGGTACTGTTTACTTTCGCTTTATTTTCCTAAAAATTCAAAAAAAAAAAAAAAAAAAACCTTAAAAGCATCATACTACAACAATATATGCACACCCTCAGATTGAGGGGTACGCACTTAAATAGCTGTGTGTAAGGAATTGCACCCCGAGAAGCTCCAGTGCACCTTTCGGGATAACCTACACTTGAAGTTGATGTTATCAGTAAGAATCTGGGGCTGCAGGAAGGATGAGCTTGCCCTTCATGTGGAAGAACTGTAAACACTTAGGAGGTAGAAGATGGGCAGTCCCACTAACACACTGGGCAGATCACAATTGTGAAATATTTGTCTTTAAAAATTATTTTCAGAGACAATGCTAAATAATAATTTCAGTGGTCTTTTTACTTATAGGCTCTTCAGTTTTCTAAATACTATGTGCTTTGATATTTTGTCAGAAATATATATAGCTGTTGAGACGTTTTTCCTCTAGCCAAGGGTTTCGAAGGATGTCACCATAACAGGAACAGCTGCAAGGAAGCCAGTTGTGCACCTGACCTCTTCATGTTCCTTTCATATACAAACCATTCTTAGAAAGCCACACTGGGTGGAGCTTTAAATTTTTATTTAATACTATACCTTACTCTGAACCACCCAGATAGCTCAGTGGATTAAGGCACCTGCTTAGGGAGGCTCAGTGACCAGGGTTCGATCCCCAGCCTGCCATGCCAGCCCCACCCCTGGGGTTCCCTGAGAAGGTGACTGAGACTGTAATCCCAGCACTTGGGAGGCTGAAAACAGGAGGATCACTATAAGTCCAATCTGGGTAGTGAGACCTTGTACTAAAATACAAATACATGTAAAATACAAATATATAAATTTTTAAAATTTAATAGAAATTATTTTTAGATGGTTTAACTTGCAAAAGAATCTGCTGTCATTCCACTGTATCACTGTGGATTGTCCTGTAATTCCCCATCTGCTTGTAATTGGCCTTGGTGGACATTAGGTAGCTCTGGTACTGTAGCATTCAGACCGCGAAGGCCACAAGCTAAAGGGTCACAGTGTGGTTTGACATGTAAGAGGCAGGAAAGGCAAAGTTTAGTATACACTTACCAGTGGTTTTCCTTTTTCTGAGAAGATTCTTTATTTTCACATTTTCATCCTGAGATATTTGGTTATCAGTTACCAAGATGTGTTTTAAGAACAGTGAATCCCACAAGATTTCACCATAAAAGGGTTTAAGCGGAGTCCACATAATCTCTTTATGATGCTATGCTCTGGGTTGAGCTTACAAATGTGTATTGTATAGATTTAAAGGTAAGAAGGTATGTTCTGAAGGCTCTGCAAGGACCATCACTTCCGCACTGCCAGCACTCAATGATCAAGGTCGGGGTGGTGGCTGCTGCTGGGAATGCCAACACTGGGAAGCTGAGGCAGAAGCTTCACAAGCTCCCTCATGCCTGGCAGCTTAGTTATTTAGAGACCCTGTCTCGAAAATCAGACAGGGCTGGAGCCGTGGCTTAGGGAAAAGGCCCTGGACACAGTCCCCACTATAAAAAATTAAAGTCAATGTTACAAATGCTAACATCCTATTTTGTCATCATATAGGATAATAATGCTAATAATTAAGATTTTGATCTCAACTCTTGTGAATAAGTTCTGTAAGTCTACTTGTTTGCCTGTAGGTTGGTATACATGAAGTTTTCTTAGCCGTCTGCCATGTTTTATGAGGAGGCTATCTGTTGCTGCTGCTCATAGTTGTTCTTCTAGGGCTCCAATCTCGTTTAATTTTTCACAGGAATCTGTGGTTTTAGGGACCTCAGAAAGCCCAAGATCACTTCACTTGGAAATGGATTGAAAATATTTTAAAATTCTGTGTGGGTAGATATTTGGCTTTGGGAATTTGTAATCCAAAATGTGTTCTTTAACAGAAGAGTAGCTCCGTCTTACTGACTAGGCTTTCTCCTGGGTCAGGGACACGCGTGAGTCCCTACATCAGCCGTTCACAAACGTAAGTAAGCAGCAGAATCACCAGTGGCTCACTGGAACAGACTGCTGGGCCTCAGGCTCGGATTTTCTAATTCAGTGATCACCGTCACATGCTGTGTAAACATATTTTGGATCTTTGTCTTTTGTAAGAAAATCGATGTGCTTTGAAACCATAATGTTAAGTGAAATAAATAAGACACAAGCTTAAATATCACATGGTTTCTCTTAAGTGAGAAACCCAGAAACATAAAAAGCAAAATAAAACTTAAAATATAAATAAAAAGCAAAATAAAAGGCAGACACTAGGAAGCAGAGAGATGGATGTTTTTCAAGTGGGAAGGGGAGGGGAAAAGATGAAAAACTAATGGAGCTCTGCCACGAACACGTGCCGACTCCCCGAGAGGAATGCAAGCAGTATTACTGCGAAAGTGTAGGAATAAAAAAAGCTAAAATTTCGGAAATAGAAATATTTTGATCAATGACAGACAGTACACATGACAGAGGTCCTGTAAGACGAGGACTGAGCTGAAAACTCCCCTCAGCAACATCACGGTAATCAATGGCATGCGCCACAGCACTCACTTGTAAACAAGCCTGCTGCGCCACTAGTTAAGGTACAATACCACATATAGGTAGGCCCAATATAGAGTATGTGACAATGATAATGAACAACTGTCACTGGTGTACGTACTTACTATACCACTTTTTATTGTGCACCTACTATTAAAAATAGGTGGTCTGTAACACAGTATGCTGTCACACCTGCAGCAGCCTCACACATCTCATCTTCACTATATCTTTTTTTTTTTTTTTTTTTTCATTTTTATGTATTTGGTACAGGATCTCGGTACACAGCTCGGATTCGTAGTGATGCTCCCATCTTCAGCCTCCCCAGCACTAGGATTACAGGCATGCTCCACCATGTCTGAACACAGTCGCTGGCTCAGCGCACCCCGGGGGTGAGGCCGGGCCGGTATGGCATTTGGGACCAGGGATCGAACCCTGGCTCCTACGCTCACCTAAGCAGGCGCTTTGTCTGCTGAGCTATCTCGCCAGCCCTTCATAATGCATCTTGATTCCAGTGAGAGGTCACGGAGGTGGCCTGCCTGGTGCCGCCCAGAGCTGGGTGAGTGCACTCTATATTTGCACTATGAAACCACCTTACTTGCTTCTCAGAGCTTAGCACGGCTTTTCTGGGTGGGGCCTGTATGTTCTCACTTCTAATGAATTTTCAGGTAATATCAATTTATTGCTGGTGCTGGGACCACACTTGATACCCACTGAGCAAAGGCTGTGATGTGCAAATGGTCCTGTAAATAATTTGTCACTCTCACCCATGTATGCTTCCTACGAGTAGGCTATGATGAAATATGTTCTGTTGATATCGCACAGATTCCTAAATAATTCCCAATTTTAAAAAATTCTTAGAACAGTGACACAACTTAGTTTGAAAATCTTATAAAGTCTGCAGAAAGGCTCTGAACTCTGAAACTAGCTTCAGTCCCACAGTAACTGTCACTCTTACATTTGGAACCCTGCTGGTTCTAACACACCCATTTGGAAGGCAACGACGTGTGCTGTTTCACCCAAAGGAAACAGAAGGAACCACACAGGAAGCGCTGGACAGCCAGGGGCCAGCTCTTTTTGGAAAGCGTATTTAATTCATGTTGCACAACTCAAACGGAGGAGGTGGTGAAGGAGTCAGGAAAGTACTGACACATGCTGCCCAGGAGTACTTCAGGAGAAGTATCTTGACGTCAGAGATAGTTCAGGAATGTCAGAGAGACAAAGAACTGACTCCCAATACTGGAATTTCTCTGTAACATTCAGTTTTCACTGCTGTGCACAGACCCTGAGACCGGACAGAAATGACCTCCAAAAGGGCAGGGCAAGGTGGTTTGCCCCGTGTCGCCCAATGCCAGGATACCATTTACATGCACGTCCTACATAATATCAAAAATAACTTCTAGTCACTGGGCCCACGGTGGCGGCTATCCCCACAGACTGGCAAACAGTACTGGTCTCCAAAGCCTATGAGCCTCATCCCAGAAGCTCAGACAATATAGCTGATATTTTTTCATCTTTTGAGTAAGTTTTCTTCCTCCTTTACTACAGTTTCTTCGTATATACCATCTTATCTAAAGACAATGTCCAACTACCACTCTCATGGACTCTGTATCCATAGCTAAAGGTTATAGTTTAGGCTATCAAAAATTCCCTGGTGTCTGATATTCCTTTCCCCTCCCTACTTATCCCTCTGTCGTATTCCTATTTCCAAAAGTAAGGGTAACCCATGGGAAAGGCGGGGTTCGGTCACTGTCTCATTCTTCACTTCAAGGCTTAGTCTTGATGCTAACACCTGGGTGAGCTACGGTTCTTCCCTACTGATTCTTCTGAAAGAGGGATGCACGTGTTTGCAAGGTGGATTAGGAAATGTAACTAGGTGGAGCTTGAGGGCTACGTCAGGAGATACAGCTGCTAAGGGTTCCGGAGGACTGAGGAAGATGACGGAATGACATCTGCAGCTGCCAAGCCAGGTCTCTCAGACCTCCCCACTAAAACCAAACACTAATGCAATGCCCCAGAATCTTCCTTTCTTGTCAGCACTGAGAATCAAGCCCAGGCTCTCACGCTGTACGCACTCTACTACCAAGCCACACCCCAGACCCACCCATCGCAGGGTCATGGCTGAACGTTTGAGGCCACCGTGAACCCCAGCATGTCAGAATGTGGATGATGACAGAGCTGGCCCAAGAACCAAGGCCGGCAGGCGTAAACCCATCATTTTTCAAACTAGAAAATTGAGTCCTGAGGAAAAGCAACTTTTTTAAATTGATAGTAAAGATTCTTTAAGCTGCAACATCGAGGCCAGAACTCTGATTTTCCAATCATCACTTCTAGATCTTTCCTTTTCCTTGGGTGGTGGGGCTTGGTTTTTAACATTAGCTAAAAAGTCAGCAAAACAGGAGCAAATGCTCTTTGTGGGACAAAAAGAAGAGTCTGTCCCCTTCAGGAAAATCTGGCACATCCATATGTCCACCACCACAGACTACCAGGGAGACACAGGCCCCTCCAGCCCAGCAACTGGGAATCAGCTTGCCATAATGCCCAGGAGGGATGTCTGCCTTCTGTCCAAGTCTGTGTGGTTTTTCAAGCTTTCTTTCTCATCAAATAAAATTACAAATGCAATATAAGAATGTTTATGTACATGTTCCTTTAGGTCCAGCAAACCTCATTATAGCTTCAGGTACCCGAGTGAGAAAAATGAAGTAAACTTGCTCCTATGGCCTCTCAGATTAAAGACATTAAAATGAGGTTGTCCAGCCCATAGAACAAGCTACACATGCTGATGTAATTAGGCCAAGTCCGTCCTGGCTTATTTATGCTCAGCAAACTCATGACAATGACTTCTTCACAAAACACCCAAGAGGTAGGTAAATGCAACCACCCTCAAGGAAGGATGTGGCACCCAGAGGCCCAGAATTAGGTTGGAGAGGTACCTGGGACAAGGGTAGGTCTGCAGGGGAGAGACCTGGGCACTGTCCCTTGGAGGAACAGCACTTAAGGCACGAAAGGAATCCCCATACATAGCAAATGTCTGCAGCAGTCAAGGCATGGAAGTAGGAGGTAAAGAGATGGTGCTACTCTAAGGCTGACACTTCTAGAAACTTCGAGGGGAGAGCTGCCAAGTGATGCAAATCTGAGGGTAGCGGATATGAACTAGAGGATGCTAACACACACCCCAGGCCATGCATGACCCCAGAGCAGCCCTGCCAACCTCTCAATGGGTCAAAGAATTAGGTATTAACAACTCCTTTTATGAGAGAACCACAGCTGGGCTGAAGCAGGGCAAGAGGCACAGGCAGCTCTGAGGGTTCCACTCTTCCCTGACTCACCCTTCAGCCTGAGAGAAGAGAAAGGAGACAGAGGGCTGCCACCTCCAGCAGTTCCTAGCATAGATGGCAAGAGCTGGACCCCAAAACCATGAAATTACACACCCAGGATGGAGCCCAGGCTTACTGTACCTTCCTCTGGGTATAGAGACCTCAGCCCTGTCCTGTTCTTCAGGGACAATGGCCTGACAGGGAAAGCTGGTCTCTCACTGAGGTAACAAAAAGAACACCTGCTCAGCTCCACAGATCATCCTCAACCTGAGCAGGAAAAATCCCAGCAGGGGGCATTCTGAGGACAAAGGCACTCTGAAGACAAAAGCAGGCGGAGCTCTGCTTCTGGGGACACATCACAAGTTTTAAATTACACGTTTCCCCACACGGAACACACACACTAACCACACACAAGCATAGAGCCCCACACTTCCACCACATTCTCCCAGCCCACCCCACTCCTGGTCCCAAGTCCCACCCCCAATACTGTCCTCTGTAAACACAATGGCACAGACTCCTGCCATCCTGGCATAGTCTGCTAATGATCTGAGGATGACTTCTTGCCGTTAGGTGCCCCGGTAGGTGATATTGGTGAAGGTGGATGTGGCTTCTTTATAGAGTGGGTTGTTGGCCTGTGGAGAGAATAAAAGAATCTCTTACATAAACTCCTCAGGTCTTCCTTACCCTGAATTATTTGCTAAAACAATTTTCAATTTGTTCTCATCTCATCTGAAGGTCAAGGCCTGCCCAAGATACACCACGGGTGAAACAAACACGTGTTACTCGCACTTCGCTCTTAGGATGATGGTAGGAAATAAGAAGAAAGATCAGACAGCCATCTTGCTGCGATTTCTAAAGGGTTAAAACCAGTCTCTCCATTTATTATTTTTCAGCCCTCTTTGGAGATTCAAAACATTCTACTACATTCTAAGAAAGCTTTTCCCAGCCTCTCCTGCTTCCTCCTCTCTTCCCCACTTTTGCTGTCACCTTCTCCCATTTTCCTTTGTTTACGGCAATGCTGGGGATGGGGCCTGAACGAAAAAGGCAGCAGGCACATGGACAGCATCTGCTCCAATAATTCTCAACTTGTCACCTCCTCTCTTCAATCACTACCTACACGTTATGCCATTAAGAAAAAGAACCACAACAACAAAAAGACAAATTCCATCAGGTCGAGGAGTCGTTAACGGCAGCTTCAGAAGCTCTGCATGTTCCTGTGTGCCTCAGAGACTTCATCCTTGGCCCTCACGACACCACCCCAGGGTGGGCGCCCTTGCGACCAAGCCCTGAGCTCACCATCAAAATGGGAACAAACTTTCAGCCCAATCCTGAACTTTCATGGCATCAAACAGTCCTTTGCAAAGTCCAGAAAAAAGTTAAGAAGTAGAAGATGAGCCAAAAGAGAACAGAGTAAAACTAAATACCTGAAAGTTTCTCAATAAATACTTGTTTGAGTTAGAACAGGATAAACTGCAGGAAGCACAAGAGGAGTGGAAGCTACGATGGGAGCAAGAAGAAAACAAGGCAGAAAAATATCCTGTCACTGTTTCTAAGAGGCTGACCGCAAAGCCCCAGGACCACACAAAGAGTGATTCTCAGAGTTACCTAACTCCCTCCCACAATCAAGCAGGCTACTTAATTTCTCTGCATTGGGTTTCCTCATCCATAAAATATCAACAGTAGTACTGCCCACCACGTGGGGCTACTATAGTAAGGAAGTGAGCTTACCTGTAAAAGGCATTTAGAAAGAGCTCTGGAACGCGGCCAATTCTCAGCAAATGTTAGCTACTACGTTCTTACTGTTTACATTTAACACTCTGGACTTCGCTATTTCTCAGCGTGGGTTTGCCCTGGCTCCCTCAAATGGCAAATAAGCTTCTGCACGCATTTCTTCCCAGCGCTGGAGCAGAGCTTGGGCCTGTTTCTGTCCAAGCAGTCCTCAGGACGTAGCCCTCGGTCCTGTGTTACTGTGTGGTGGCACAACAGGGGCCTTCAGGAAGTTTACAGACAAGGGGACAGTCAGGCCATCTCCAAATTTCCAGAACAGAGCACAGCTACAATGCCTGCTACCTGGATCTGCAGCTCCCACTTGAGGTTCTTGGACCAAAGAGCTAAGAAAGCGCCCAGCCCAGCCCAGCCTCCTACCGTGTCCCACTTCGCTCTGGCTCGTTCTTCCTCAAACTTGGCAAATTCCTTCCGGTCGTGGATGGTGACGAGGAGCTTCCAGATGAGCAGGCTGGCAAGGCCGGTGAGCAGAATGGCCCCCATCCCCGACAGCAGGGCCACCAGGGTGTCAGGGCCCTGGGGACACTCTTCAAGGAGACAAAAGCACGAGTCACTCGGACTGGCTAGGTACACTGTCTGCTTGACAAAGGAATAAAGAATTTGAGACTCCTCAGGAGGCTGCAGCAGGACGATCACAAGTTTG